TGGCCCATACTCCAAAGTATACGAGTCATTCTGTCCGGGCGTTTGCCATCAATTCGCGACATACTGCTTGGCTCGAGCGTAGCGGGCACGTTAATCGTCGCTAAGGCCGGATAATGTCGCTGAGGGCCGTATGCTGGTCAAACATCGAGACATTCAATAAATTTAAGTACAATGAACGTGCAATTTTATTGTATTTAATTGCCCTAATTTTCTTACCCACTAAGGGACCTTAAAAAAACAATGTCCTCTTTACGAAAACAATACACGTTCCACATACAAAAACGCTTAATTAATTAATTACCAAAATTTTATCGTACGAAAACAATACGAATGAGAATTTAGGCGAAATGTTGACATTCCGGAGTGTCAGTGGGTCATTTCATTCAGCCGATTTAATATACGAGCTATTGCGCTGGATGACAACATGAAAATCAAACAATGACCGATTGTAGCGCCCCCCAAAGAAGTAATAAGTGACGTTTCGAACAAGGCGCATAATGAAATTAGAGTCCAAGTAAAGTAAAGGATTTCCTTGATTTTTTGATAATCGACACCTCCTTCATCGTCATTCCACCTTTTTTTTATCACTCTAATGGCTACTTACTCTTAAAATTTTTAATCGTTCTCGAACTTTCTTCCTTTATTTCCTTCACTATTCTTACATTGGTTCGATTCGTCGTCACTCCCATCAAAACTTTGGAAACGACAGGAAAATCATCACCTTCATTTATGTCTAAACTTCACGTCGTTTACTATTGAAATAATATAAACATATAAGCCCTTGTTGGTTGAGTATTATTTATTGTATTTAGTCTTGTATAGGGAGTGTTTTTTACGTAATTTTATTTTGTTACAGCTTTCTTTTCATCTTTTTGTAAGATAAATTACGTGGACCGAACCTTCTGCATTCTCACTTCGTTAAGGCTAGGCAACAATATGATATCGATCGTCTGCTTCTTACACATTTACTCAATCTTTTAAATCTTTCAAACTTCAATCGTTTCTATAGTTTTTTAGTTTAGTACTTATAAATTAGCGTACAAAATATGTTTACTTACCACGATAATGATTTCGAACTCTGCATGTGTTAAACAGTGAATATCATAATTTATATGCAGGATACGAAAATAGCATAAAGGCAATAGAGAACGTATTGGAAACATCCGTCCTTTATATCTTATTGTACAAATGATAAAAAAGTCGTTGGCCTTTACATTTAGCTTGTAATATGAATATGGGATCAATGCCTTGTAACAGTTAGTCAGAAACAATTACAAGAGAGTACTTACTATATAACACAAACTTATGCAAAGTGTATCGGGCTTTAAAAGTAGAGACAAGACGTTTAAAATCCGCACGTACCGTATTAAAACGTATATAAGGTATTATAAAATAACATCACAGCAAAATGTGGTCATCATCTGAAATGAGTTCCACTTTCTATCAAAACATCTGCTGCACGTAAATTCTTCAGCAACAGAGTGATAAATAACAAGCTATCAATATGTTATCAAAACGGCTGAGTTCTGCAGTGTACGCGACAAAAAAAATACAAAATCTTTCACTCTACGAAGTAAGCTAGATTGGTTCAGAGCTACTTCCAAAGTTTAATGACATACGTCATTTTGCTTTGGGGCAATGCCGCCGATATTAATAGAATCTTTGTCCTGCAGAAACGTTTAAGAAAATGTTATTTATCTTACGAAAAACATTAATTTTTTTTATGAAAAATAATAACAAACAACATTAATACCAGGAACTAAAATAAACTAGCTGTTCTTGACAGTCGTCTCCATAAAGTTTCAAATTCATTTAAGGGGCAATGTATACGCTTCTATAATAAGATTCCGATTGATATTCAAAATTTGCCATATGCGAGGCTTAAAATTATTACTAACAAAAACTTTATACTAAAGGTTATACAACTTCTGCGTACTTCGAGGACAAAATTCCGTGATAGTTTCCGTTTAGCTCTTGCAGGTAGTCTCAATCTGAGATGTTTAAATTAAATTTTGTAATGATAAATGTATTCAAATGTATATTTACAAAAAGCACCCCTAGAGTTACTTGCTCATTCTTCTCAGGGGACTCTGCACTACGAATGAGCTGTATAGTTTAATCAGTATGACGATGTCAAGTGTAATTTGCTTACCTATAAAATAAAGATTATATGACTGTAACTTTGAGCTACGGGAAGGTATTCTTTCTGATATCTCTGTTAGTGCCTTTTAAAATAAGCTCTAAAACTAGAAAGAGCGAATCAGTGCTAAATAGTCAATTAAACTTACAATAAAGAGAACGCGCTGCTCATCTATAACCAAATAAATAAATACCACGACTCTTAATACTTATTATGACCAAGTATAATAATTATTTATTTGTT